AAGGGTTAGGCATATCGCTGGCCATTAGCACATTAACATCTGAATTCGTGAGCGGTCTTTCCGGGTCAGGACTTATGTATGCTGGGGGAATTGCCCGCAAAAGCCACTATTTACTTTTAGTTAGCCCTCCTTCCCTTGACTCTTGCATATCTAGAAAATCATATCAATCCCAACGTCGGAATGAAAGAGCCCATGCATCTAGCCAGGAAAGAGAGAGATCCGATTTGATAAACAACTCTGTGGCAACAACAGCCACGATTTCTCAAATGACCTAAGTAGCTTGCACAGATCTATTTTTCAAGTTCCCTTTTTTTTTTCTGGTGCCTTGGCAAATGGCTCTTTTTCTTTTTCAAGAGCGGAATAGGATAAGAGAAGATTTTACAGTTATATGATGATTTCGCATCTATTCATGCTTGCACCCATAGCTTGGTGAGGTTTAGCTCTTTCCGTCCCCTAAGCGCCCGGACACCATAGCGCACTAGCCGTAAGAAGCAAAGTAAGAGCAAATAGTGACAAGAAGAATGAAAGTCATGGATAAGGATTAGGAGGTGTCGAATACGGCCACTGCTAAGCTCGACAAGTTAGAAAAACTCCCTACTTTTATTGCATATACCGCAGTGGTAAGAGATGATCTGGGTCTAGTAAATCGGCAAGACGTGGCATGTGAGTAGTCCCTTTTCTCGATATCGTTTTGTCATCAAAGAGAGATTCATTCACCGGAAAATTTTATTTCCTTTAATCTAGAAGAAGCCTGGGGCTTTTTGGCTTATTTCGAACAAGGAACGCTTCAATATTCCTATAGATGTTTGTCGGGTTATTGAATAAGACTTTTTAATTACAAAATTTTTCTATTCGTAGATAGTCGGGGAATAAAAAAAAAGTGTCTTTGAAAGGTAAGAAGGTGCGAAAGCGAAAAAGTAAAAAAGGAATTCTTGGGGTCAGCGGTTTAAGACTCAGTCTTCTAGTAAAGGAAAAAGCATGACTCGCTACAGAAGAATTGAGAACGAACAACAAAAATAAGAGAGAGAAGAGAGGATGAAAAGCAAGGAAGCAGAGAAAATTTCCCCAGGCTGGGCCCATGCCTATCCTATAGAAATTCCCCTTTTCCGATAATATGACTATTTTTCAGGGCAATAACGTAATAGAAGACCCAAGGGCAGGCAAATGGCTTCTCCGAATAAGCAAGATGGATATGATGATAGCCTGCAACCATCCGCTTGCTTAGCATGCTTACGGGATTATGGATTTCGATTAAAGGCATTGACCCTTAACTAGGAAAAGCAGCTGGCCCCATTATCCGATAGGGGAATCGGCCAATCCGACGCTCAAAGATTGAAAAGCCTTCATTACATAAGACATTTTCCAAACTACCTGGTTTGAATCTCGCTCCTGAGACACGTTACACACCGAAGTCACTTAACCAACCCAGGGAAAACAAAGAGAGAATGATTCCTCTCCTGCCAATTGAAGGAGTTTTCCACAGCCACAGCCCAAGCATCAAAGAAGAAGGAATAGCCCCTTAGCCATCTGAATAAGGGTAGTAGGCGAAATGGGACTAGACCAAGACTGGTTCCCTGCGGCTATCGATTCGAAGACTGGTAGGAAGACTCGAAGGCTTGGAATGATAGCTAAAAGCAGATGGCCCTTACTACACTTGCGCTAGCGAGAGCCATCACCCGAAGAAATGAAGAAGGACTTGCCTTCCGGTTCGGTGGTCAAGCAGGAAGCCAAATGCACCTTACTTTAGGACCGAAAAAAGGGGGCTCGGACCGCGCTAATGGAAGAGCGCTCTTAGGAAAGAATGCAAAAGACCCACGACGCCACGTGGAATGAAAATGGTTCAAGCAAAGGCAAGGCTCGTTGAGCCTATTAACCATACCCTCGTATCTGATGCCCTTTTCTACGAGTAGAGGGTCCGATTCAGATTATGGTGCACACCTGAAAGAAGAGGCGCCTCGCATCCACGAATTTCGAAGATGGGAAAGCGTACTCCATGGACTCCCTTCCAAGACTGGTAGACGTAATCGAACACTTTACCTACGACATTTCCTACTTGCAAATCACTATAACCGAATAGTAAAGTACAGTACGGAAAGAGGTATATTTCTGAACCTCCATTTAAGGAGTCCCACAACATCATTCAAAAGGAAAAGAAACTTCAAAAGCCAAAATCCCCCCCCCCCCCCCCCCCCCCGCCACAAGGTCATCTAGCCATTTTGATCCTTTGGCACAACTTGATTCATTTAGTAGATCCTTTTATTTTATTATGAGGCCCCCTATTAGCAAGTTTATATCGAACCAATTATTATAATGCGATGGTTGGCTGTTCACAGACTAACTGTACCCACCCTTCCTTGGGAATCACTTCTGCACTATGTGTGCACGATGTCGTCAAGTATTATCGAGTTGTTGTTGTTGGAGAACTTCCTTGCCATGACCTTACTCAAGTACCAAGAGCAGCTAGAGTAAAGGCCTTATTTTCACCTCCAAGAGACTTTACTTTAACTTTACAAAGGTGGATTTCTCTTTTTTTATTATCCTAATAAAGGAGAGAAGAGTAATTTATAAATTAAAGGCTCTGAATCATGTCCTTATTAGTTCAACAAGTAAGAGAAGAAAGAAAAGATATCAGATTCATTCCAAGCTTCATTCTTTGAACAAAAATCTCGTTTAATAGACTGAACTTGTCAAGTGGAACCTTTCCAAGGTTCTGTAGGATTCTTCTCTTATGAATTAATCAGGGGTCAATACTCTCACTCAGGTCTACATATGACTCCTCTCACGATGCCGTCACGCTCATTCCCCTATAGAAGAAAGAAGAACATTCATTGGTTGGACCTTTATGCTATCAGCCTCTGCTATTGAAACTCTTTCTATAGTATACGAGTTGTAGGATCATTAGTCTCACCCACAAAGGCATACATAGAAGGCAGTATCTCACCCAGTGCTTGCTCGCTATAGCTCTATCATGCCTTTCGGCTATATGGCAGGCTGGAAAAACTATTCAATTCATCCAACATTCCATCTAGCATTTAAGCTCATATGTCATAGCCCTCCCCTTGGTAAGTATTGTCCGCTTTGGGGCGTTACGTATCGCCGTCCCCCTCACGGTTTTGTCCCTTTAGGCAGGCTTTACAACCCAGAGACCTAATGAATATGGAGCATGTACAAATATGTAAGCAGCAGATGGGCAGCGGGAAGATACACATCAGAAAATGCATCAGCATTTACAATTATCATCTTGCAAAAGTGTTACTTCCAACAACTTTTGAAGAAGTTTCAGTCTTTTATGTACTCGAGACATCTAAATCACTTATCCAGCTAAGCTCAGGATTTACGGTTCCGGCCACCTCTGCCAGATTTTCTCCTCCCCGTCTTCTTCTTGTCATTGGAAAGATTGCTCCTGGATTTTGGAAGTGTTTTTCCACCAAAATTTACACGAGGCACAGTTGTACCTGTGGATATGTTAGTAGCTTCAGGAACGCATGATGTCTGCTCTTCTGTCTCTACCTGATGCTTCTCTGTGACCTCGTTTCTGAACATATTCAAGTCTTGCATCTCTTCCTTTGCTGCCTGATTATTTATTAGAATTCCTTCTTTAGTCTGCAGAAATGAAGGACACATCAGTTATAAATAACTCTCGTAATAGATGGGTGGCAATACAATTTAAAAAGAAGAAAAACATGCTGGTCCACAAAACATCAAAACATTAATCAATTCCAAATTCTACACAGAAATTGTCCCGTGAAAATGAATATAATCTGTGACTCCCACGACCAAAGCTATAATTGCCAATATGAGTAGCGGCAACAATCATACCACTGAAATCTTATGAACCAAGAAAATATCTTGATAGAAAATTTTTATGGAGTTTTATCTTCTTTTTTTTTTTTTTTTGTAAACCACCAGTATTCGGATTCTATTAGCAGAGATTGCCTAATTCGCATCGAAAGTTAGTAACAATTAAGACTTCTCGCCCCTCTCTGAGGTGCATTTAGTGAAAATTTAACTTAAAAGCTATTTCCATATGCGTTGCCAATTGAGTACAACTTGTAGGTGTTTTGTAGCTGCCAGAGAAAATGCAAGACGATAGAAGAGTTTGCTCATCCGCGTAAGATCCTCGAACCTACCACGACCACCATACGCGGCCTTTATTTTGACATAAAGCAACGAATGTAAATTTATGACTTGGTTGATATACTATAATATCATAAGGGTCAGATCAAGATTTCAGCAAGTAATTGGATCTCTAATTTAATACTTTGCTTCCACCATCAAAACGGTTAAGGCGTACACATGATTAAAGTTTTAAAGTTGTTTTGATTTCATTTTTAAGATAGATAATAGTGTAGGTAGTCGGATTGGCAAGTGACATGCTTGCAAAGAAAGCTGCGATCCAATTAAAGAATATCACTACTGGCATAAAACCTTGATTTCAAATCCCTAATCTGATAAGGATAATAATGCGCTAATTTACAATTACCCATAATTTTTATATAATTATATAAAAATTCTTTTTAAGGGAACAAAAATCTAATTCATTTAGATATATATGTTTTCTTTTATCCAACAATTAAATTGTCTTTTTAGTGTCATTTAGATAAATAAAACAATTAATTACTGAGTCTAAAAATTTGTATTTACCGGTATGTGTTGTTTGTTTAGATTACGCAAGAGATTTACCCACCTTTGTTTCGACAGGGAAACGCAACGCTTGATAAATGTGGGTTAACTCTAATATCGTGGGCCTAAATTTGATCCAGGATAACGGATCAATGATCATGGACAGTTTCGTCATTTTATCTGCAGTAAAAAAAAAAAAAATGAAGTTCCCGCCTTTCGAAAACAGTCAAAGGACAAGAAATATAATCCAACCATCCACGGTGAGATAATCCAACGGCCAAAGATCACGATCCGCGTGACTCCTACTGATTGGCTCTCGATTAATGTTAAAGAAAGAAAAAAATTTTATTTCCTTATATAAGGTCCTCTCCTCGCCGTCTCGCATCAAACAAATTAACTGTTCAGCGCAGCCGAAACTCGAATTCTCTAGGAAATCCAATCAATTCTCTGATTCTCTCTTTTGGTAGAAAAAAGATGGCAGGAAGAGGTAAATCTTTGGGTTCTGCGACGGCCAAAAAAAGTGCGTCGAGGAGCAGTAAGGCCGGTCTGCAATTTCCTGTCGGTCGCATTGCTCGGTTCCTGAAACATGGCAAATACGCTGAGCGTGTTGGTGCTGGAGCACCTGTGTATCTTGCCGCTGTGCTCGAGTATCTCGCAGCTGAGGTATATCCCAAACCTTGCGTTTGGAATTAAATTACTTGATTTTTGGTTTCGGAATTTTCAGGGATGTGTTCATTTGGGAGATGATTTTTTGTATTTATTCGTGGACGTAGGTATTGGAGTTGGCTGGGAATGCAGCAAGGGATAACAAGAAGAATAGAATTGTGCCAAGGCACATTCAATTAGCGATTAGGAATGATGAGGAGCTGAGCAAGCTGCTTGGTTCTGTAACTATTGCTAATGGCGGTGTGTTGCCTAATATTCACAACATGTTGCTACCTAAGAGAACTGGTAGTGGACCTAAAGGTCCTGGTGATGATGACAACTAAAGATCTTTATTATATGCCTTTTCTATTCTGATGAAAACAGAGTCTTATAGTGTAGCAATTGTAGGTTCTGAATTAGCTTTTACATTTCCATATTCAGATTAGCTTTTAGGATTCTTTTTTCTTTTTTCTTTTTTCTTTTTTTTTTTTTTTTTTTTTTTTTCTCTCTCTTACTCTTAGGCCTTTGTGCGGCTACCTGGGTGTTGAAAAAACTCAATTGATTCCTGATGGCCGACGCTACTATTGGTATAGTTTCAATCCCACCATGATGTACGTAAACTTAGAAAAGCCTGGATAAAGCCGGTGGTTGGGCAGACATTCCATTGTTCGTGGTGTTGCCATGAATTCAGTGGATCCATCCTCATGGAGGAGGTAGGGGCCGGCACAAAAAGGAGGAGACTTTCGGCGTCACCTTGAGGGAGCCCACCAAAGCTAGATTTCGGGCAGGGGTGGGGAAACCGTAGAAAATGAGGTTCAATGCCACGACGATCTATATGGATAGGGCAGTTTTGTTGATGCATTTCCTGTTGAAAAAAAGTCTTTTTTTATTTCATTCTTCAACTCCGGATGAGTTTTGAGGCCTCCCGGCGCCTCTTTTGAAGACTTTTTGTTTCGCCCCTAAGGGATAAGGGAAAAAACCTGATTGGGTGCCCTCCCGGTAAACTCGGGCTCGGGCGGCCTTTGCCTTCATTTTCTTGAAGGAGCAAACGGAGGTCACCTCTTCATCAATATAGGAAACCCCCCCGGCCCAGAAACAAATGGTTGTGAATTCCCCCCAAGAAAAAATAGCGGTAAGTGATGAGGGTTGGCGGGGCTTTTCCTTGTGGTAAGTAATTGGCGAACTCACAATTCCATTTTTTGGAGGATTCGTTCCCTGTTCTGCGGCTGAGAAAGCCCTCAAGCTCGCCTTCCCTTATCAACCTCTATAAAAAGCCCTTTCCCCCTTTTTCATAAATAATCCCACCGTGCGGGGTAAGCTTCCAGAACCGGCAGAATTGCCCCATCAATCCTATCTTTCCCTTGAAGTAAGTCCAGAGCGGGAGCCACTTCTACAGCAAATTCAGACTAAAACTCGATCACTTGGCAGGAGGGGGTTAGGAAAGTATTTTGAGCGCAATGTTTGATTTTCGAAAAAGGCTGGTTTCGTCTCATTTTCCCGGAAAAGCCCAGTCATACTTTTCCACTTTTAGCTAAGCTAATGATGAAACAGGAGATGGATTTTGTCTGCAGATGATGATGATGTCCATCCTGGCTCGATGCGCTTAACGAAAAGGGAAGGGAACTCTAACTCTCTAGATTAATCAAGCTAAAGCTTCCTTCGTATAAGCAGCCATCCTTTAAGTGAGTAAGGGGTGCGCCGGACCGGCCCGACGAAATAATCGGTAACCCACCCCAGGAGAGTTAGTGAGCCGTGTAATAGGGACCATTTCGCGCGGTTCGGGGGGCACTTGAGTCAGCCGCCGGCCGCCCGACTGCGTCTTGACCCCTTATCCATTTTTTGGGCCAATCCCTTTGTATACCAAAAAATGAGAAATTCTTGCCGAATTCGGAGTTTGCTGCTCCAACCATTACCAAACTATACCTATTCCGTTAGTACTTTCAGGTCTTCTTGTTGCGTATAATGTATTCGTAAGCGGATCAATTTCCAACAAGCCTTCAACTAGTACTTTTTGTAATCGACTTCCTAATAGCTTCTTCAATAAACGCTGGTTTCTTCGATCAAGTTTTGCATGACTTTCTAGTCAGATCCTGCCTCGCGTTTCGGATATGAAGTCTCAATTCCGAGCTTTAGACAAAAGGTGGCTATTGAGATATTGGGCCCTTATGGTAATCTCGTACACATTCCGACGGAATTGGCCGAGCGAATAAGTCAACTTCAAAGTGGATTTTTGTTGTGCGAAGAGGTGGGCGTTTATGAACCCGTGGGCCGCCTGCCTGGTGGGGGCGGCTCCTCCGTTGTGGGTAAAACGGGAAAACCCGACTCTACGAACCCGGAGGAAAGGCTGCCCAGGGGCAGTAGTAAACGTGCGTTAAGACCGGAGCTTTTTTGTAGTGCTAGAAGGAATGCAGTGAATGAAATCCCATCCCCTAGCGAGGGCTGCTTACGGCCCCTTTCTCTAAAGGGGCGCGCTAGGCTTTACTAATAGAATGCTCCCGTTATCGTTTCTATATATATAATATAAAGTCAAGGGGCCCTGAGAACTGTTTGCTTGCTGTCTACTTCGCGAGGCCCGTTCTGTAACTTCCCTTCTTTCGTCGTCCCGAGGCTGTAAAAAGAGAAGAAGGGGCGGCTATCTAGTGGCAGTCGTTTCGGTTGTATGCCACGAGGTCCCTATGGGACAAGGGACAAGTGGAATCAATTCGCTTTTGGGGCAGCAGCCCTCTACCATCCTCCCAATTGCATTCCATCGTCTCGTATTGTAACTGTTACCGTATCAAGAACCAGATACATCCATTGAGTGAAGAGAAAGCATAGTGTAAAACTTAATTATATATTCTTCACTAAAATGAAGATAGGATCCCATTCATTCCTAGATTTCCCGTCACTACGGATTGTTTCCCCTACCTACTACATGGTAGTGGTCTAGGGAGGCGCAAATTGCTAGAGGCGGCGGGAGAAGAAGAGTAATGAATTTCAGCAAGCGCAGCCGGGACGGACGTACTACTAGTGGAGTCTCTAGTGACTTAGAGTAGAGTTGAGTCCAAAAGGTATGGTATAGGCAGCCTTCCGAGCGAGCCTCTGGGATCTCCTGTAACCCCTGAATTGTGGGTAAAGGGAGGATATTAGGGGAAGCGTGAGTGGAGATTCCCTGCAGAGAGCCGGATGAGGGGAGACCTTCACGTCCGTTCGGAGGGCGGGGATTCCCGACCCTCTATCACTAATGCCTTTGGCAATGTTACTTGGTTCAACTCTATTTGTGACCCTTTTCTCGTATGTGGGACTCTCTATCTTCTTTGGGTAGATAATCGATCGTCTTTCATTTGATAGTGAGTACTTTTTATAAATAAATAAGTTCAGTCAAGAATAATAATCGAACTGGAGGAGCTTTTAAGGCGACTGTAAGGAGAAGAGCGAAAAGCCAGGATCGCTTGGTAAGGCAAGCCAAGCAGGCGCCAACTCCCAGTTCTTTCTCTTCTCTCTTTTTTTAAAGAAGAGACTCTTTTTTGTTTTTGATGGGATGGATGGGGGAATGATCTAAGGGTAGGAAGAAGCGATAGCAGCCAGCTCGACGTAATGTTCGATACTTTCAGGTGTTATTTTGAAGATTGATCCGGATTGGAAATTGGACAAAGAAGAAAGCGGCAGCGGAAAGAAACTCCCACCACCGCTAGAGGAGAGAACGAACGCTTTTTGCCAAGAGGGAGAGTTGGGGAAGAATCTACCACATACCCTGTCTTTTTTTCGTAACATTCTTTCTTGGAGGTCCCCGTCTTTCGGCTTTGAATTGATTGACTATGGAAAGCAGTCCACAGGAGCGGAGCAGCTTCGCGTCTAGGGGATGGAGCAAAACGCCACTTATCTACCTATTTCTTTAGTAAGCCAGACCAGTAGAAGACTGGATTCGCGATCAAAGGGACCACTTTCTAGGCTAGCCGGGGGCGGAAATTCAATTCCACCTCGACAACTTCAACGGTTTGGGGTAGGGAGAGGTGCAATGCCCAGTACGTATGCGATATGAGTATACAGATACTTGAAAAAAAATCCAAATTGCCCTGAAAATCAATCAAAGAAAGCAACGGGAAAATCAAAGCTGATCTGGATGTTCCGACTTTCCCGAATAGACCTCCCGAAGGAGAAGAAGTAGTTAGAAACTGAAGCTCTGGCATGGTAAACTTCCTCTCAGAAGACTGAATCCGGAGGATAGTCAATCTGTACATAGGCGCATTGAAATTGGCGGAATAAAGTTCTGCGTGCTTTTTTTTTGTCGCCGAAAAAGTTTTAATCGATAAAGACTAATGAAACTTTCCTTCAAGATTGGAACGAAGACCAAGAAAGAATAGATCGCCTATCTCTCTGTATAATTAATTAGTTACTATTACTATAAGGCAATGAATCTTGTAAGGGAGCGGGGAAGTAAAAAAAATCATTAGCTCTTTGGGTTCACCGTCTTTATTTAAATTTTAAAGTTGATCGAGAAACCTCCCGCCCCAGGAAAGCTCCTGTTCGCGGTTTGACCCATCATCAAAATCTCGCGTCGCGGTTCCCTCTCGGATGGAAGCCCGAAGCATATCTTTGTTAGTTCTGAAGCTCCCATGTTGCCAAAAGGAGCAGTCCCCCAACTACATCTTATCTTATGGGGTTGGGGAAGGAGATAGACTATGGGAAAAGCCTAATAACGGCGCTAAGCGTCGAAGTCAGTTTGACTAACTCCTTCGCTTCGTATCGAAACAGCATTGGAAGGTGAAGGGCAAAGGGTAAGCAAAAGGGCAAAAGGGGTATCACAGTTCGAGGAAGTGTTCCATTAAGGGGTTCCCCACAAGCGAGAAGGGTTAAAAAGGAGCTAATGGGGCTAAAGGGCAGAACTCTCAGTAAGTAAGACTCACTCTAACGTGGTGGATAAGGCGCTAACAATCTCTAGTTCTTATCAGTGCTTTCGATGGCGATCCAGATGAGCCAACCGATCAAAACGAGTTAAGAGGCAGCTTCCCTTCAGACGCAGGTTTAATAATTTCAGAGTAGCTTCGGGCAAGTTAAGTTTGACAGCAAGCTGACAAGGGAGAGACTTAGCCAATTAGCCCCAAAGAAAAAAAAGATGTTAATCTAGTTAAGATCTTTCTTATAAAGCTTAGGAAAGTGGTACCTTACGGCAAGCAGCCATCTTTTTCCCAAGGCAGGATAATATGATATAGATAATTCCTGGAGGGCTACGATAAGAGAGCTTCTATGATCCTTCTTTAACGCTTTGTTTTCCCTGGGAGCCTGTTCCATTTTCAGTTTTGTTGACAGGTAACCATTGTGTAAGCAATTTAATTTAGGGAGTAATCAAGTAAGCGGGTCCTCTTTTATTTCCAATTCAAAAACCGATTTCCGGTATAACAGAGAACCACTTCCCGCTCCGAATTTTTGGGGCTCAGACAAGCAACGTGCCTGCCTTACGACGCCCCGAGGTGGTTCCGTTCGGAAAACCGTAAAAGAAGAGAATAGATAG